CTGCCCTGTTCGGGCCTTGCCAGGTGGCTCGAGCGGGAGAGAGTGCGTGGCTCGCGATGGAAAAGGTTGCGAGTTCAAGTCTTGGTTGGGGGTGGGGGGGGGGGTTGACTCATCCCATCATCCTTTCCGGGGGCTCAAAAAATGCGTGGTTGTCCTATGAATGCATACTCGCCCCTGTCACAGGAACGGGGAACTTCCACCGCTAACTTAAGGCCGTCAATGCTCATTTGAGCAGGAAATTACTGTTTAGTTTTGCTTCGATTCGCGACTTCAAACTGGGAGATTCTGTCCGGCGACTTGGGCTGAACTTACACGCCACGACAGAAAGCGATGTTGCAGCTTTTGTGAAGCTGATTGCTGAATCGTGCAAGGCTGCGTTATCCGATGTGCCCGAAGATGAATTGCCGACTGCGACGGACGGATCGGAAACACGGACGCCGATGAAAGAAAACGAACCAAAGCGCTGCCAAGTGCACAAAGAGAGGTTCGAGAGGTGCACGCTGGGAATTACAGAGCGAGAGACAGAAGAAGCAGCACCCCCCTGTTGGCGGGAATGGGCAGGGCGCGTTCCCTAGCAGGGAAGAGGGCCGACGGACGAGGCACTAATCGTGGAGAGTGGCGGCCACAGGGAAGCGGCAACAGATCCGAGAGGACGGAGCGACGCGACGATTTACGGCGTGCGACGCTGCAGCACGACGGATTGCGGCATCGTGGGCGATGACCACGAGCACGAGCGGGGCGGCCTTCATCCAAGAGTGCACGGACCGCAGGCTCACGGCGACGACGACGGACGACGCCGTCGCATAACTGCGGCCGCATCTCAAGGCTGCCGTTTCGTAGACGGAGGCGGGCAGTCTGCGATGGTAACAAGTGGCGCAAAAGCGAGGGAGGGGAGGGAGGAGGAAAATGGGCGCTGCGTCCTGCGCCAGAAAGAAGCAAGGGGCGTGTGCGATGCCAAAGGAGTGGAGGAAGAGGCATGCAGCCAAGGCCAGCGCGTGCTGGAGCGCAGCAGCTCACTCAAACATCCACAGTTCACGTTCATAGACTGGTTGGGGCAAGTGCCGCTCAGCGAGTCGCCCCGAAGAAGACCTGCACGGTCCACGAGTAGGTGCGTGGCCAGCGCCGCCGCACCCACGCCCGGGGCCGCCTTTGCCGATGTTCACGCGCCGTGTCAGGTACTCGCTTAAGGCCGAGTCGACCTAGGGGAGGCCCGCGGGGACCGGTTCGGATATTCGCCACTGGTTTTGGTCGTGAGCGGTAATCGAACTCGGGTCGGCAGGTTCGTAGCGCAGCGCGTTCACCACGACACTACCGCTTGACTATCTACTGCAGGCACTCGGAGGCCCAGGACTGATTCACACACACACACAAACCCGGTGCGCGCACACTAAATTGAAAGAGGAACAAGAGGGCTTGGTGTGTCTGTAAGCCCTCATAGCTGCCCGGCCTTCCAAATTCCAAAACAAAGAGTCATTTACCGGGGTCGAGATGGGGGGGGGGGGGACAATGAGGGGGGGGGGGGGCTGACGCTGCCACGGAACAAATATTCTCAAGTTGACATTCGCCAGGGGCCATGGACGGGCGGTCAGCCAAGTTCAAGCGCGGCGACGTGGGGGGCCCCCTGCTTGAATAGTTTGCCGAGCGAACGCTGCGTCCGGCTCGCGAGATAAATTGCGCGCCTTGGATTGGAGTCTGTTAGCACGTGCGGAGGAGGGCGCGCCTCGCACACGGGGGCCTTTTAGTGACGTGACCTGACCAACAACAAAAAAATAAACGACGAGTCTGCGTGTCGGAGCTTTGTTGCGCTCCGTCGCCTTGCGATCCCACAAATCGCGGGGTTTTAGCCCGAACCCCCGGACAAGAAAGGGGCCCGACAGCGCACGTTGAAGAAACGCGACGTTGTGAAATCGCGGGGTCTGTTGTAACAACGGTCCTGTTCTTTCTCCCCCTCTCCGTGAACTCGGGCGGCGGAGAAAAAGAAAACTCAATCCCTCCGCCCTGACCGGCGGTGCTACCTACGTGTGACGGATCTGTGAACCGACACACGCCGGCGAAGCCAGAGAGAGAGAGAGAAGCTACAAAAGCGCAATTCTGGCGAGCCGATGGGGAATCGAGTGACTCCCGCTAATTGTGTCCGGACTTGTATCAACGCCCCGCGCAGCCCCTACCACGTGCGGCACAAGTACAATCGGCTGCGCGCTCAAGGGTGAGTCAGCTGGAATGAGCGAGCAGGTTAGAAACCGCCAAATGCTAATATTAATTATTTTTGAAAAATTCCAGAAAAGCATCATGCCTGACAATGAATTTCAAGAATCTTTTGCAGTCTAAAAGACGTTTTTCAGACGTGTCCTACTTTATCAGGATTATTTGGCCACTTCTACAGATTTTTATTTTTTTACAATTTCCATGTGCAGGCAGTGTCCCAAAGTGCCTTGCGACCCGCAACGAACAGCACCATCAAATTTTGATTTAAAGCTTTTGTGACTGCAGGGATTCATATTCTTGGTTCTTTCAGTAAAGTCACAGGTGTGAAAACCACAGCAAGAATTTTTTCTTGCCGTGGTTTTCACACCTGATGATGATTGCTTGTGTTGCAGTCGAAACGTGATAAATTTATTGTTTTATTTTTTTATGATTTTATTGTTTCCCTTCTACGTGACTTTACCGAAAGAACCAAGATTATAGCACCATCAAAGTTGTAATCCATGAGTGTTTACACGATTCTTGAAATGGGCAAGGTTGTTTTAAGAACCTGTGAGGATAAAAGAAGTGTTGTTCAGAATAAACGTTTTTGTTGTTGTGACCTGCAGTGTGGGTGAGAGGGTGAGCGAGCGAGGGAGCGGACGGGTGGACAATTAAGGTGGGTGGATGAGAAATTTCACGGCGAAGTGAGTGAGTGGAGTGAGTGTTTATGACATTGCGGTGCTGTGTTCAACACTGTGGATGAGACCAAACAGTCAAGAGTCTGGCAGCCCGAGCCTTCAAAATGGTTAGAGGAATGAACGAGTGAAGTTTACGGAAGCAGCGAACCAGGGTAGTAGCGATAGAAGAGTGACAGGGAGGTGGCTGACCGCCGGTGAGCGAGCGAGTGACCGGATCAAGTCGGTGAGTGACGCACCGTGAACCACCCCTGACCGCTTTACACCGACTTCTCTCGGGTGCATCGAGGGAGGAGGAACTGGGGGCTCCACCCCAGGCATGCCGACCATGTTGAGCTTCGTGTTTGAGAGGAGGCCACAATGGCAGAGGAAGCCACGAATGGTTTCATTACAACTGTGGCCAGACCCGCACGCCTTCCCCACCGAATTCTTGACAATCTGCCTTACCTTGGCTGAAGGATGTGCGAGGCATTTCCTCCGAATTAAACATTCCTTAAAATGACTTGATTTTCCGAAACTGTTGCCCCCATTTGTCAAAGTCAGCTCTTACTCATATTTATTTACATTCAAATATAAATAAGGACAACAGTAATACCCTTTATTTATTTATACACGGACGTCTCTCGCTGAGTCTCAAGACTCTTTTTCAGGAGGGCCCCTGCTAGATTCATATGTTTGTCAAAATTGTATGAATGGGAGTTTGGCTTCGTGTGGAGAGAAAAGTGGAGTACCTTGCGAAAACTCGCCACACCCTGGTTACACCCCGACAGGTAAATCGCATTGAATAGCTTCCTAACCACGAACGCCAACCAACCATCCATCACCAAGGGGTATCATCCATCACGTGTGCTACAATAACCTCAATCAAGGGCTGCCGTTCTAAATTAAACCGTGCCCATCTGCTTCCGATCAGTGCGTGATTGGAACCAAGTGGACCGTTCGACGATTCGGTGACCATTTGGCCCTCGTCGTGTTTGGATAGCTGGAGCTGCTTGCCCACAGCGCGGGGAGGAGGCTTTTCCGACAGCAGGGACGTGTCAGCTTTGTTGGAACGTGTCAACGACGCGGCGAAATAATTGTTGCTGTCCTTCTGTCCAATTCGTCCCTCCGCCGGCGGCAAGCTTTGTGCGTCTGCTGAGACGAAGACCTCGGGAGACACCGCCGCAAAGTCTTGCGGGTAAACAAATGACGTGGGACGACGGTCGGCGTGGACATCCGTCACCCTCGCAACTGCGGCTCCCCCTCCTCCTTTCCCCTTTCTGCCACTTCCCCCAACACCCCCCCCTGCCCCCCTCACCGCCCCCCCCCCCCCCGCCGGAAATGTAAGTGCGATTAATTAAGTCGATGAAAAGCGGCGTAGTCCGGGCTGCGAGACGTCAACGATGCCGGAATCCGCGCCAAGCCCTTTGTGGTGTCACACGTCCTCTGCAGTGACAATACGTCCGTTATTCTGCCTCTTGACCGATACATTTGGTGAAAATGTCGTGAGAGCCTTCCCGACTGATTAGCAGCGGTCATTTGTTTTTGGGGTTTATAGAGTCGGGGAGAAACTAAAAAAATTGGAGCAATCATAATCATCATGATTATCACCATGAGCCATGGTCTATGCACTGCTGGACGAAGTCCACCCCCCTCCCCACAGCTATCTTCTATCTATCACGATGCTGCAAGTCCAACCACCCATCCCACCCCCCAAGTCACTCGGCCACTCGTTGCAGTTCGAACGCAGCGGCCGCCCCTGGCTAATACCGCGGGTGCATTAGCCGTGAATAGGGGGGGGGGCGACTGCATGTTTTGTCGGCTGGGCCGACTGCATGTTTTGTCGGCTGGCTACGTACGGCTGCGAAAGAAGTCCAACGTACGTATACACATCGCAGCTGACGTTAAATATATCCCGTGACGCTGTTGGGATTGAATCACGAGGGTCGATGGTGGAGGTTCGGGGAGTCGGGATGAGTGCTGAGCTTCGGGGCAGCGATGCGACGAGTCGCAGTCGCCGGCGGCTGGCGCCGGCGGCGGCGCAACAGCCCGGCAGAGGTGGCAGAGCGTTGCCGGCGTCGCGCTCTCTCTCTCGCTCTCTCTCTCGCTCTCTCTCTCGCTCTCTCTTTTGCTTTCTCTCACCTTCATCAGGTGCTTGTTCACCCATTTCGTGAAAGTTTTCTTCTGAACGCGGTCTCGCTCATCTGCAGGGGTTCACGCCACAGAGACACGGACACACAACAACACGACATACGCCGCCCCACGTTAGCCTCGCATGCCCAAGTACCGCTCGCGATCATGCGTACGCGCCCCTCTCTGCGCCTTGTGAATATTATGGATAATATTGGTCGTGAAAGCCTCATACGTGTTAAATCGGCTAATATTGTAAGTCATCAAAAAAACAGTTACACTTACAGGATCCGACCCACAAATCAATCACGAATAACAGGAAGCGGACAGCGCTTACTGGAGACCACTTACCAATCGACCCACCCGTATAAGAGGAGGAGGTTACTCCTCTTATCCGGGCATGGATCTAATGTGGAGGACGGATGATGACGACAATCGCATCGTGTGCCTACGGATAACGGGAGTTTCATTCGCTGTATTTACCAGCAAGATGTGCGTAACAGTTTTTTCTTCATCACGACTATAAAAGGGCAGTAAAATTAATGCCACCACTCTCCCCGACGCCCACAATTCACCGCAAAGTCGAAACAACGTTTCGTAATCAAAATTATAATTAGACGGAGTGCTCTTGCCAACAACATCTTGCAACCCAGCAGAATTCCTTTAAGGAAGCCTGGCTCTGCTGATGAGACCCATAAGGTCAAAACCCAGTCCAGAGTTGGGCTTGCTTAAACGAATGCTGTTGGATCATATTGCTCCGGAGAGCCCAAAAGGGCTGATGGGCTGCTTCTGCACGCGTGTACGCTGGACTTCTTTGGGAACGCACGTAGCCAACCGTGCTAAAGCGGAGGCGCTGTTTTGTGGAAGCCCCCGCGTGTCTCCGACGGGGCTTATCGCTCGCAACGGCTCTGAGCTTCCTGTGTCCGCAGCACCCAAATAGCGGCGAGGGACGGGTAAAGTGCTGTCAGTGCGACTGGCTGCGAGCGCGACAGGCCGGACAACAATAAATGGATAAACAAAAAAAACACACACACAAAAAGCTCTCTCGCTGCGACAAAAAAAGAACGCGCTCGCGTGCAGACGCACGGCGCGGGGAGAGGGGCCTCTGGAAGCAGACTCGCTCAACCCTGCTAACCTGCTCACTGGAACAAATGAATCATTTGGCGGGACCCAGGGGTCCAGTCCAGAGTTGGGCTTGCTTAAACGAATGCTGTTGGATCATATTGCTCCGGAGAGCCCAAAAGGGCTGATGGGCTGCTTCTGCACGCGTGTACGCTGGATTTCAGGGGTCCCGCAAAAATCAGGTCAATAATTATTATTTTTCTTTAGTCCGCCCACTCGTGATCCCGCCAGCAACGCGCCGCCCGCCCAGACTCGCGCCAACAAGCGCCAGCAGCAGGCGGCGATCGACACGATGGGCGCCACCCCACCGGCCAAACGCAAGCCCCGGGGGGCGTCCGCCGCAGTCGCGCGCGGCGACGACGCCCTCCGGTCAGCCGTCGATCCACAGCTTCTTTGCCAAGGCGAGCCCGCCCCCCCAGGTAGTGAATTTAACGTGTTTATATAATTTTTCAACTTTTTACGAAACTTAGTGCCCCGTGTAGCTCTCGACGAGGCCAATCGATTGACCGCTAGTTTTGTTGTCGGTAAGGCAAGACTCGTGTCGCTACGCGGTTTTTCCCACCCCGGGGCAGTGATGGGACCCCGGGGTCCCGTCAATTGCTTCAAATGTAAAAGGATCCCCGTATAGCCTTTAACAGACCTCTGTTGGGGCAAGTGCTGTTAGCGAGCAACTATGAAGGCTGGCACGGCACACAAGGGAGGTGGGGTGGTCAGCACCACGCCCGGCCGCCTTTGTCTCCTTTGTGGCGATGTTTTACACACCGCCACCAGGTGCTCATGTAAGGCCGAGTCGACCTAGGGGAGGCCCGGGACCGGTTCAGATAATCGTCACCGGTGTTGGTTTGGCCATGTTTGTTTGTTGTAGTACGGAGTTTGACTGATGGCCTAAATCTAAGTTGTCTTGTGGTTGTTGTTGTTGTTGTTTGACTTGCATCCCACTGGGATTTTTTGCACACAGCGTTGGTGTACGGTGCTTTTTCTGGAATCATTTGCTGTTTTTTCCTGGATTTTCTGTTTTGCACAGTCACATAGTCACTTTAAGATGTTTTCTTGTTCATGTTTTTGTTTTTTGTTTGTTGTGGTTGCACCCGATTCAAGAGCCAAATGGCTCACAGGGCTATACCAAAAAAACTATATGGGTGGGGGGCTTACAAGGCATCTGGACCACTCTGTAATCAACAGAAGTGAGTTACTCGGGCCAAAAGTAAATCACCCCAAACCCTCCGCTCTTAAACTATTTTTTATTGTTCAGAAGCGACCTTGGTCAGAAATGATAGCCCAACTAAGTGGCTTATTGTCATGTAAAAATGTGCAGCAGCCAAAGACTCTTAAACGCATATCGTTGATTCTAAATGTGGAGGGAAGAAGCGGAGGACCCGGAGAAAAATCCACGCTACCACGGGGAGAGAGACACCGCAGACTCCAAATATACAGCAGCAGGCGTCAGGGTCGGGATCGAACCCACGACCTCCTGTAGACCTGGCGAGATAGTTAACATCTCCTAGCCAGCGTGGCGCCAAAATTATGTGGCAAGTATCAACTGGCAGCATCCCCTTATTAGCTCTGACCGCAACAACAGTTTTATATAGTAAGATAATGGAGTGCTAGTACAGTTCCCCAAAACCCAACGTCGAACTCCAGCGGGTATTAACAACATCGCTCGTGGCAACGCTGGCCACGCCGCGTGTGACAGTGGCCACCACGTGGCCCGTGAACTGACAGTCGCTAACCACACCCCTCCCAGCCCCTCCCTCCACCTCCTAGCCCCTCCCTCCACCTCCTAGCCCCTCCCAGCCCTCCCTCCCCTTCCCAGGCCCTCCCAGCCCTCCCTCCACCTCCTAGCCCCTCCCACCCCTCCCTCCACTTCCCAGCCCCTCCCTCCACCTCCTAGCCCCTCCCTATACCTCCCAGCCCCTCCCACCCCTCCCTCCACTTCCCAGCCCCTCCCTCCACCTCCTAGCCCCTCCCTCCACCTCCCAAGCCCCTCCCACCCCTCCCTCCACCCCTCCACCTCCCACCCTCCGTCCGCCTCCAGCCCTCCCGAGGACGGACACCCGTGAAACAGACTGACAGACTGACGTACGGACTGACAGACAGACTGACGTACGGACTGACAGACAGACTGACGTACGGACTGACAGACAGACTGACGTACGGACTGACAGACAGACTGACGTACGGACTGACAGACAGACGTACGGACGGACGTTCGCCAAACCCACCGAGGCAGCACATCCGGGCCGTGAGAGCCTCGTGAGAGCTCCTCCAGGAGCCACGGAGCATGTCGGCGCTGTCCCATTGATCGCCCGGCATTCTCTCCTCTCTCGTTCCCTTCTCCCCCCAATGGGGCAACGCGGCGCTCAGCACCGCTGCTGCAGCTACAGCAGCAGCGCCCCGGCGTCAATGATTTACACCTGGCGGGCCCGTCATGGATAATCCCGGGAGCAACGGGCACGAAATCCGAGATGCGGCCACCTCCCTCCCCCACACACACCCACAACCGTCACTCCCACACCACCACCACGACCACCCCCTTCTCACTTGAAGGTTGTGACGACGGTACGGCTGGATATTAACCCAGCTCGCCGTGTTCCGGCAACGCCCTAGGGTGGATGGGGGGGTTGGGCACCTACTACACCACATGGCTTAGATTGTGCCACGACTGGACGTCAGACGTTACGAGGGGGGGTGGTGGTGAACCAGGCCACAGTTTTTTCACTGCCGCGTGCAGTCTCCACCCCACCCATTCCACCCCCCACATTCCACCCCGCCCTTCCCGTGCTCATTCTTCCCAAGCTGTGGTAGAAACATAAAAAAAGAACATGAAAACTGTAACAGAATTTTCCTCTCTGCGTGTGCGCGTCATGTGTGTGTGTCCGCGCGTTGTGTGTGTGTCATGTGTGTGTGTGCGCGCCATGTGTGTGCGCGTGCCAGTCGACCCGGCCTCAATTGAGTACCGTGGTGCGGTGTTCAAACAGCGCCACTGCTGAGACACAAAGGCGGCCGGGCGGGTGGACGGACATGGTGCCGGCATCGCCACCCCCTCGTGTGCCGTGCCGGCCTTCATAGCTGCTCGCTAACAGCGATGATACTCGAGAGCAGAGGTTCCTTAACCATGTGGGTGCGCGAACACCCTGGGGTTGCGCGAGATGCCCTTTCTGGGGGTGCGAGACGTGGCCAGATTTTATTTAGGAGGTAAATAATCGAAAACACAAATTAGGCACGGGCACGCAAGTACAGCTACTTCGTTTAATCAACCCCTATGTATTTATTAACAAATCTACATATATATTTGTTTACGATTGAGAACCAAAAGGGGGTGCAAGGCTGCGGTAAAGTTTAAGAGCCACCACTCTGCATTGAAAAGTGTCCAGGGAACTGGCAGCAGTTGCTCAAGCCACCCTCTCTTCTAGACGGAACTCCCGTCACTCTATCCCTTTTCCGTGAAAAAAAAAAAACTTTCTGCATCCGTTCAAAAGAAATGAATATTCAGTGAAGACTGCCGCCAACAATTGCCTAACGTCATGGCCTTCGGGCTCAGGGTAGAATCTCAGTAGCTCGGCGTTTTTATTCACTCAAATCTCACTGACGTAGCCTCCCCACACCCTGTCCGGTTGTGGTGGCTGTACCGACCATATTTCGCCATGCCGATCAGCGCGGGTTCGTGAAAGAGGGCCGAGAAGGGTTTGTGGGGTGCGCTCAGGACCCGGTTCAGATATTACATCGCTCGCCACTGATGTTAGCCGTGGCAGGGAATCAAATTCAGGTCGCTGGGTTCAGAGCGAAGTGAGGTATCCACTGCGACACCGTTCCAACACATTCTGGCATATCCGCCTGGAAAAACAGGATAATTGTACACACGAATTATTTGCTAAATATGCATTAAAGTGTGACTCGCTGGCTGCATGGCGGGAAAAAAATATATGCACAGCTCTAACCGACCAAGAAGTGA